AAAAGGGGGGTTTTATATAATGAGAACAAATAGGCTTAAAAATATATCTGAATGCAATATTTGTAAGGTGTTCATCGTTGTACAAAATAATTATTCACCAAATAACATGGAAATTAATGGATTTTTTTTGCACATAATATAATTACAAAAAATGTATTAATAAATCATTTACTACATCATCCTGTGGCCTAATCATAATACATATTTTATTATCTTACTTATTGGTAATTTCAGTTTATTCTAAATCAGCTAAATTAGGGTATTATAGAAACGAATAATGAAGAACAAAGCGGAAATGTTTGCAAAGTAGATTTGCAAAAAGTTCAATAGTTCACATAAAGGTTCATTATTCCTAAGAAATGCTATCATTTTTATTTATCACTTGGGTCGAAATCTTTCATGTGAGGAAGCCATCCAGCTGGCTTACGGAAGGTCGGTGGTTCTACCCGGTGCCCGCTCGTGCCTGAAAAAATGCCCGGAGGGCGGAGGGGCACCTGGGGTCTTCCTCCACCAATAAAAGCTGGAAAAAAATCGACGAAAAAAAATCTCGGCGGGACGCTCTAGGGTGGCCCGACTTGAGTGTACGGTCGCCCATATGGGCTTTACGGCGGCGACCTTAAATAAACGCATTAAAAAAAAACAAAACAAAAAACAAAAACATTTCATGTAAATAAAGGGAGGTAATATTTTTTTTCTAAAAAACTCTAAGTGAAATTTTCAATAAGAAATGAATGCAAATCTTCTCCAAATCCCTCCAGAGGCGGAGAAGGTACACGGCAGGTCAAGGTCAAGTCACAATAAGTACCAGAGATGATTGGTTGACCTGTCGTGACTAACTCTGTAGGGTTAACAAGGGTCGTTTTTGTTAGTCGGAAAGCTGATGGCTTGGCCGTATTGTCGAGTCCTTCACCACTACTGAACGAAGAACGGGCTACCAGAAGATTCAGCATGAAAAATACGTCCCCGATGAGACCGGCAAGGATGCTACATTCTCGGACATATGGTTAATTCCGGCGCCGAGTATAAATAACCTCAAAAAACAAACAAATTGTAAATTACCTCAATTACAACATATAGGACCTTACACTAAGTACAAGTTAGTTTTTATTAAGTGAACATTTTAACAATTAAGTACCGAAGGTCACTAACTACGGGTCACTTCGTTTTGGGTTCTTGTTATTCTGGTTCCCGGTATCTAACAAGTATTCTGGTTCCCGGCATCTAACAAGTATTCTGGTTCCCGGCATCTGACAAGTATTCTGGTTCCCGGCATCTAACAAGTATTCTTTGCGTAGCGAAAGGGGAAGGAACTCCAGACTAGGTTCTTGTTCAATTTCACTTAATAAATACTAACATATATAAAGGGAGAAAAAAATCATGAATACAAAAGAATGGCAGATTATTCTCCCCCAAACCAGTTCATCACCCTGACGATTCACCCATAAACTGTTTCTTCCCATGACAGTCCTTCCCTTAATTTAAAATATGAGCTATCCCCCCAAAAAGGTATTTATTACTTATTTATTTTTTATCCTTTTTATAAACGTATTTTATTGTCATTTTTTTCCAACATGATTTAGATGTATTGAAAGAGTGAAGGCAACTTTTTCCCCATAGATTTACTACATTTACAAGTTGTACATAGATGATCTTTTGAGAATTTATGTACAATCATGTAGAATCTAATTAATTTATGATCATAAATTTATCATATGAACAACAAATAAAAGTTTACATATATTTAATATATGCAAATTTATTAATAAGAAAAACATGTGATGACCATGAGTTTTACATATGTTTGTTAACACATGTTTTTCATATGGTCCTGTTTAACATATGTTAGTTTACATATGGAAAACATATGGTGTACCAAATATACATCAAATCTGTGGTGCATATTTACCTGTGTGTATGATCTATCTTTCATATTTTTAGCTTTGTTGGCAATTGATATAATTATCTTGAAAATAAAATTTGTACTTAAGTCAAAATATTACTTGTTAACATTTTGCTACCTTGACGACATATAACTGCATGTTCAATGCGACATTTTCAGTTGTAGTACTAAATCCATTATCATAATATTATTAAACACATGCTTGACATTTCTAGAGAATTAAAAAAGTATGGATTTCTAAGACATACATAATATGACTTTAAGTTACAAACTAAGAACGTATGTATAAATCAAATATTTATATTCAATAAATATTTCCATCAATTTAGATGAAAGATATTATTTAATTCTACCCTTGAAATATGGTGCTTTATTTTATGCTTTTCAGTGGATTACTGATTTATCCGTTAAAATTATATTTGGTAATTTCACAGTGAAAATTATCAAAATATAATTTCACTCTTTTCAATGACGAAACTACTTTTTTAAGATTTTCCCCATGTGGTACCTCGATTTTATTTTTGCTGACAATTCTGACAATGTCAGACTGTTTAAAGAAAAAGCAAAGCAGAAATTGATAAATAACTTAAATGTCAAAAGTAATAAAAAGAAGAAAACTTACTTCTATTCATTCGAATTCCAATCACCAAATTTCGTCTCTAAATTTTTTTGTTTCATTTTTACAGTCTAAAAAATACATTCCTTCCACATGCAAAACTGCTCTTGATGACATTTTGGCATATTAAAGTATCCTACGAGCAATAACTGCCGTATGCTTTATGAAAAAATGAAAAGCATTGACAGCTATCACTGGAAGAATAAGTAAAACAACCCAGCGTTCTTGAGCAAGCTTCCAATTTTTCCATTTTCCGAGCTCCTTTTCTGAATGTTTTCACATCTGTCAACACTTATATTTTGTCTGTTACAATCCTCAAATAAGTTTTCTTTCTTTTAAAAAGGTGTATGACTAAAAAATCCAAATTATATCCCTCTGAATCTTTTTTTCTTATTTTCTTCCCATGAAATACACAACTTTAAAAAATGAAAGCCGCTTACAATTTACAAAGCCAGGTCTAATATAAATTCGCAGTAAGTAACAGAAATATGGATGGATGGTTGGACTTTTTCTCCTACAAGAATTGTTTGTTTTTATTATTAAAACAAGCGATCATTCATATTTTTTTGATAAAATGAATAAATATCACTGTCATTTAACGTTGATTGGCGGACTTATTTTTCAGCTCAAGACTTCTTGTTTTTAATGAGAAATTCCGACTAAATGGGGCTCTCAATGGGGGAAACAGTTTTAATATTAACGTTAAAATTATGAAAATTAACTTGTTCTTAAGCATAAAATAAAAAGAAAATTTGTCTGTTTGTTGTGTAAGATGTAATTTTATTTCATCTCGTGAATTTTAAAAACAGTATTCTCACTCGTGGCTACGCCACTCGTGAGAATACTGTTTTTAAAGCCCACTCGATGAAATAAAATTTCATCTTACACACAAACAAACAAATATCCTCTATATATCAGTCAAATATATTTCATATTTTTTTAAAATAAATATGAAATATATATATGAAAGTGGGCGGAGTCAAAACTCATATTTATTTTAAGGGACTTCTTTCGCCGTTTTGTTTGAAAAATCTGATAAATACAAACAACTTTTTGTTGAATTTCGTGTTGAAAACCATCTAGAATGATAGAAAATGGTCTAACTAAGAAAATTAATCCGAACACCAATATCTTTAATTCAGTCATTAACGCTGTACAGACGTTTTTAGAGTTGTATACGTGACGTCACAATGTAGCGCTAAATATCGCGTGCAAAACAAGACAATAATTATATCACTGCGCGCTGTACAATTGCAGTTGCGTAGCAAAAAGGGGGGTCCATTTTTCTTTGATAATGAAATTAAATAAAAAGGTTATTTTTTCGTTTTTCGTGAAATATGGTATATATTTTCACTCAACTTGATAAAATGCCATATATTTTCACTCGCCGTCCCGGTTCGTGAAAATATGTGGCATTTTATCATGTTTCGTGAAAATATATTCCATATTTCACTCAAACGAAAAAATATCCTCTTATTATTTAATTTTACCCATGAAATATGGTGCTATATCAGTCAAATATAATTCATTTTTTTAAAGATAAATATGAAAGTGGGCGGAGTCAAAACTCATATTTATTTTAAGGGACTTCTTTCGCCGTTTTGTTTGAAAAATCTGATAAATACAAAACAACTTTTTCTTGAATTTTGTTTTGAAAACTATCTAGCATGATAGAAAATGGTCTAACTAAGAAAAGTTATCCGAACACCAATATCTTTAATTCAGTAATTAACGCTGTACAGACGTTTAAAGAGTTGTTTACATGACGTCACAATGTAGCGCCAAACAGCGCGTTCTTACGCATAAATTACTGCGCGCTGTACAATTGCAGTTGGTAGCAAGCATTTTCTTTGATAATGAAATTAAATAAAAAGGTTATTTTTTCGTTTTTCGTGAAATATGGTATATATTTTCACGACACATGATAAAATGCCACATATTTTCACGAGCCGGTACGGCGAGTGAAAATATGTGGCATTTTATCATGCTGAGTGAAAATATATACCATATTTCACGCAAACGAAAAAATATCCTCTTATAATTCTGTCGTTAACGGTAAATATTACCACAATTAATATAAAGCAGACGAGAATTTAACTTTCTGTCTTGAAATAATATTATTATCACTACAGCTTTAAAAGGTAAAAAAGCAATATCTGATTAAATAATTTCTATAAAGTTACAAAAAACAACAACAAACAAATAAAAACAAAACTGAAGCCACAAGAAAAACTAGTAATACAAAAAGAAACAAACACCATCCCACCAAAAAATCAACCAATAAATAAATAAATAAAAAGAAATAGAAATAACCCAAACCAACAAACAAACAAGCTAGCACACGTGAAAACTAAAAACTATATGTGAACAAAAACGAATGAAAGGCTCGGAAACATAATTTTGTCAATGATTGTTGCGCATGAACATTCTCTCCTAATGAAATACAATGTATACCAAAATATGACTTTCATACAATCAGAGGTTTTACGTATTAGGTATACCATCACGTGACCTTTCTTATGCCTTAACCTCACGAGACGAAGTCGAGTGAGGTTGCATAAGAAAGGTCACGTGATTATGGTATAATTTACGCAAACCCAGAAATCGTCAACGCACCAATGGTGTATCTGTTTTAACCTATAGCTCCGCCAAGAAACACTTACTCCTTCGATCTTCAAAACTGAAAATTAGACCATAGTCTGGGTATGGTATAATTTACGGTTATTGGAAATATTATACTTGGAAGGAATTTTCATAAGAAGCGCTGAAGAGCTATAGGTTAATTTACGGTTATTGGAAATTATGTATAGGATACCGACCGAGTACGAGGTCTTTCTGTTTAGGAAAGACCTGGTCACGAATTTCGTGTGACACCGAGAGCGCGTAGAGCTCGAGGTGTTTCATGAAATTCGTGACCAGGTCTTTCCTTAACAGAAAGATCGATGTACGAGGTCGATATCCAACTTACACATCGTCAAACTTTATTGGCCTGAGGAAAGGCTGATCCGAAGCATTTGATGTAATGCACAAATATTATTTATACAGGTAAGTTTTTTTCAACGTTCTGCTTTAATACAATATATATTTTGTATTTAACTTTGTTTTTCCCTTTAAGATAATATTAAAAAAGCTAAATGTGCAATTTGTCAATAATCAAGTGAATAGGTATGTAATGGAAGATATGTTAAAGAATGATTAATTATGTTGATAGTATTTCGTATCAGACAATGCAAATTCTAGGACATTTGCCCTCGGACAGTTGCCTCCTCGGACGTTTGCCCCCCCCCCTTACCCCTTCTTTTTTTTTCGCTATTGCGACTTGTCACTTGTCAGAGGTCATCTCGTGTATAGATTTTTTGTATGCCAATGGAAACATTATAGTATTTAGACTATCACAAATTTGCGCGATATTTTGTGTGTATTTAAGCACAATGAAATTTCGACAATAGGCGATGAATTTGGGTAGCAAAGACTTCATCAATAAAATATTTTAACATTTTTTTAAAACGGGGAGGGGTCACATGTCCGTCCTTCCAAATATATGAAGGGGCAAATGACCGCTACTGCAAAAAGGGAGCAAACTTCCGAGGGGGCAACTGTCCAAAGGGTAATGTCCTGATACCCAGACTACGAAAAACGTAAATGGCAAGTGTGAGATACATAAATCGAAACTATATTTTATATAGCAGATTATAAAGTGTTCTAGAATAAGATATGATTGGTCATCATAAAATTTTTTATTCTAAGTCACTAATAACTTTAAATAATTTTAAAAATCGTAAGTATGCTGTAATTACTGTTTCATAGTTTCATAGATATAAACTTGAAGCGTCCATTCTGTTATATTGTGAACTTAATGACAGAAGAACCACTTAGATTGCTATTACTTTCAAAAATGACGCGATTAAATAAATGTGTCCTAACTTTGATATGCTATCCATTATTTTTTGTTCAAAGATTTAATATAGGGATGCTGGAATTATTGTTATTTCCTAATTCGCTTTCGCTTAAACGGAAATAAATCATTTATCCCTTATTCTACAGAAACTAAGAAAATATAACACAAACACATATGTAGAATCAGTCATTCACATTGCATTTATGATCGAATTAACAAAGAACGGGCAAATGGGGCAAAAATTAACAATAAAGACTAATATTACTCAAACAATTGAAAAACGAAATTACAATCCTAAACATTTACTAACTAAAAGTCGTTTATCAATGTCATCCTTAACATAAGAGTCCTTACCCTTTTCACTTTTCCAGCGTCCATGACGTTTGAATAGTCTATCTGATACTCCAGCATTGGCAGCAGCTGAAGCGCCACCTGATCTTAGACTATGCAATCCAAATTTTGATTTGTCCAAACCGATATGCTCAAACATATCTAAAATAAGTTCACGAGCTCTAGTGTAAGACAATGGAGAAGTACCTCTTAATTTATAACAATTAGAACTCTTGAAAAAAGTAACAGAACGAAATATAAAATCGTTTGAGTTTTCATCAATGTTTGCCATAGTTAAATAACGCAATAACATGTTAACAGGACAAGTTACATTTCCAGTCTTTGCTATTAAACACCAACTTCCATCTCGATAAATGTCTGTTTTACTGTGATCAATAAACAATGCAATATGATCAGTCTTAAAAAGAATATCAGAACGCTTAATATTTATCAGTTCAGAAAATCTTAGAAAACCAGCGTAAGCTAAAAGACACATTGATATATTTCTAAGATTAAATAAATTTACATCAGTATTACCAAAAACATTAACCAACTTAAAAAGTATTTCCGGAGTAACAGGTTCTTTCCTAGAAACACGATGTCCCAGAATTCTATGAGCAGCCTCCCTGACTGATTTCACTAAAAAGGATGAACACGGATTATTTAAATTTCCTGCTAAATCATTAGCCCATTTCATACCATAAAATGCTTCATCCACAGTAGATGGAGAATTACAACTTTGTATTAAAGACACTAAATATAAAGAAAAATCCACATCATTGGCAGGGAAAACGACCAAACCATGCTGTCTGGCCCATTTACTCCAACTGTTGTAGGATCTCTGGTATTTTTTACTCGTATTACAGGCTTTTGATGAAAGAGCGACTTCCGGAAGTGAAGCAGCCAGGGAGGATAACTCTGGATCACCGTACACTTTATTACTCAATCGGTTCATTATTAAATCTGAAAAATGTATAATAAATTCAATCGTTAAAAAACTGATCAAATAAGAATTAAGTAAGAAAAGCATAAAAACATAAAACATTAACAGGCCTGCCAGACCACTTATCTACAAAATATCTTTAAATGTTTGCCTAGGCCAAATTACCCTAAATTAATCACATTAGATACGTCTAAGTTCTACTTAAATATAAAATACAAATCGTGTCAAAAGGCTACAATAACTCATTTGTCCTGGCCAAGTGGCCCTGGACTATACATATCTTATAAGAACAGGTCAAGTGACCTTGACTGAATAACCGTTTACACACGCTAGCCCTGGCCAAGTGGCCCTGGACTTTACAAACATGTATCTTAAATAAAAACAATGCCATGGTCCAGTGACCCTTGAATAAATGGAACATTTTTCGTACACTAGCCTTGGCCAAGTGACCCTGGACTAAACATATCTTAAAGAAAAAAACCTATGCAAACTAACGTACACAAGTCCTGGCCAAGTGGCCCTGGACTTAACATATCTTAAAATCAATGTGCAAAAAAAAATGATACAAAAATGACAAATAACTAATACGCAAGACCTAAACAAAAAGGCCCTGGCTCCATAAATTAACATTATGAAAACCATAAATCACTTCCGGAAAATTAATAAGTGCATGGAATGAAAAGAAACTTCAACAACATTCATATATGTCAAACTTGAATAGCAGACATTTAAAAAACAATTACTTTAGCAACAATCTAATCTCACTGCTAAAACCTTTCTTGTGAACTTTTTTGAACCAAAGATTGTATTTATTTTTTTTTTTATATTGAATAGAAATATCTTGACCAGCTTTAAATTCGAGCACTTCTAAAATCATAGATTGCTTAATACTAGTATTGCCAAAAAAAGGAACGGCCAAAAGGCAGCAGAGGACCAATTCGGAACTATGAAAGTGCCAACAGCCCCGCAAGAAACCAGGTATTTTATAGCTCTCGGTACCAAATTTACCGGCGGAACTAACCAATTATTTTCTTCAGCCCAAGATACTGAAAAGGCATCAACATTTTCAGTCCCTGGTACCCAAAACTTAGAATTAAATCTAGGAGATCTTTTATTATAATGATTAGCAAACCAGTCAACTGTATGGGGACCCCACAGACTATCTAAAAAATCAAAAAAAGTCCTCGGAAACTCCCCAGTCATCCCAATCAAAAACTTTACTGATTGCGTCGGCAACAGAATTTTCTTTCCTAGGAACCCACTGCAAACAAAGGGAGATGTTACCTTCAAGGCATAATTTGAAAATTTCCAACGCAATAGCATGTAATTTAGGTTTCATACAACCACTATCAATTATAACGACACAATTTTGATTGTCCGTGCACCAACGAACACAGTGACCTTTCAAACGACTGAAAAAAGATCGTACGGCAAAATTGATAGCAGTTAATTCCCGCCAAGTAGAACTTTCAGACTTTTCGGATTCCGACCAATTTATATGACAGATTTCGTCGGGGAAACCTTTAATTATAGCCCCGGCGGCATAAGAGCTAGCATCCAAAAAATAGTTATTGTGTGAGACAAGTTACTAAATACAGGCCGTACTGGATTATAACCTAAATTTCTCATCCAAAATTCAAATTCATATAAACATCCGCTATCATGACTTAAATTTAAGTTCGAATCCCAACTTTGTCTAGCTTCTATAGCCATTTGTAAATTTTTAGTCATGAGTTTACATACATTACCTAAAACCGGGATCATCGACACAGTTTTCCCAGTTACACGTGCGAATTCCCTAGCGGTCAGAGACGTCAAATGTGATAAACAATAGGAAATAGCTTCTCTCGTGCTATTCAGTCTTCTTTCAGAAATACCTAAAGAATTATTGGTTAAATTCCAAACTAAACCAAGCCATTCTTGCATAGCAGACTGGCGTTTCCGTTAGTTTTACCCATGCCGGAAATTTCATCTGGCATGGGGGGTTCCAGATGAGTCGCGTGCTGTACAGTGGCACGCTTAAGCCTAGGTCACAAATAAGAAAATGCCGCCGGGCGGCGTCTGTTTCTCCAAAAAATCGCAATATCGGCCGGCGTCCGTCCGGCGGCAGTGACTATCGGACGGCAGCAGCTGAAAATTTTGCTCATCGGGCGGGCGCCTTCGAGTTTTAAGTAATACTTAAAAGCTAACGGCGGCCGGACGATAATTTTTGGGGTCACTGAGTATGAATATCATCGAGCAGACATCGTTCGGTCGCCGGGCGGCGACCGGGCGATGATTTTTTTGATCGGGCGATTTTTTGTTCTACTAAAACAGCGTCCGATTTAAAAGGCGTCCGAGCGGACATCGGCCGGGCCCCGCCCGGTGCCTGAATAGAGACAAGTAGTCAAACGATTATCGCCTGGTACCCGGACGATTCATGTACAGGCACCGGGCGGTCATCGTTTTGTCATCTGGCGACCGGGCTGCTTGTGTTTGTTGTAATTTCAGCTTGAAGAAGTTGTAATTGCCTCAAAAATATGTTTGTAAATTTCTTTTGAATACTAGTAAACATGATTTTTTTCTTCAATGTCCATGCGAATGTCTGATTGAGTTTCGCTTTCTACGGCCTCGATACTGGTCGTTGGTGACTCGTTGTCAACAACACGGACCAACTCCTTGGCCTTCCCCTTGGCTTTGGCAGCTGACTTCTTTGCTGGCATAATTACAACTAGCTGATTTATCTAGGATGTCATTAAATGTAAAGTCATTGTCGCCCGGCGCCCGCGCGGCAACCGTCCGATTCACTTTTAAATCGCACAGGCGCCGTACGGACATCGGGCGGCGACCGCCTGATCCGTTCAATTCTTTCTGTAAAATCTACTCGGCAAAAATCGCCCGACGACTGTTTCATTCATGACCACGCAAGGAATCAGATTTAAAATCGCCCGGCGTCCACGACATCAAAAATTCTGCCGATTTTATAAAAATCGTTTAATCGGACGGCGCCCGTTTTATTTGTGACCTAGGATGACGTCATTTTACCGTTATGAATGAAGTTGCAATTTCATACGCTGTTGTAAGAAAGTAGTTACGGTTGTCATGATATAAATTTCTATTGAAAATAAAGATAAAGAATTTAAAATATAATGAAATATGGTAGAATATGCAAGAAAAAATATCTGACATATGTTTGCGGTTCGGATCGGAATATCCGTCCCTCGGTAACCCGCCCATGGGCGGTAACTCGGCAAGCCTCGTTACCGCCCAATGGGCGGGTCACCTCGGGACGGATATTCCGATCCGAACCGAAACATATGACAGATATTATTATTCCAAAGTTTGAACAGGGATAAAAATTGATTTTTCTAAATTCAAAATAAAACCTGCTTGTAAAATAACAGATTTAACAAAATGAGCATCCTGAAGAGTTAACTCAAACTTTTTATTTACCCCCCATCCATCATCTAGAAAAAGCACTAAACGAACTCCATTTTCCCTGACGTATTTAACTACAGCTCTTAAACATTTCGAAAAAATGAATGGAGCAGAAGTAAGACCAAACGGCAATACAGTAAAAACAAAATACTTTTTCTTGCCTTTAATATTCCAAGAAAATCCCAGAAAACTTTGATGTAAAGGTGAAATATCTATATGATGATAAGCGGATTTTATGTCAAATTTAAACATATAACCATCTTTAAAAAGCATTTCAAAAGCTACTTTCCAGTCTTCAAACTTAAAATGTTCCTTCCAAATAAACTTATTTAAATGACTTAGATCAAGAATCAGCCTTTTCTTGCCAGTGCTATTTATAGCAACAGAAAGGGGATTAACAACATAGGGTTTAAAAGGTACTTCTAAAATGCATCCCGCATTAAGCAAATCTAAAACAGCATCCGTTACAAAATCGGAATTTGAAATAGCAGATTTGTTATTACGTAAAACGTAACTCAAAGGTGTTTCTAAAAATGGAATCTTATACCCAAATTCTATAATATCAAGAACAAAATCATGGGCCTTTAAAGTATTCTTCCAAAATTGTACATTTTTACAAAGCCTGCCTTTGACGGAAGGCTGAGCAATTACATTATCGGACATGTTTGATAATCTGTATTCAAAAAACTTGCTATGAAAAAGTAAAGTTTTACAATCAGCATGTGCAAAATCAGTGAAAAAATACTCATCATTTATCTTCTGTTGACTCCCTGCCTTGATGCTTGACGACTTGAGAGGGAAAGTCTCCACCTTTTTGCCACGAGAGTCCGCTGAATCCACGTGTAGTAGGGTTTGTACTTGGGGCCTGCATTTTGCTTGGGCAATCTGGTCGGGTGTGTCCAATCCCACCGCATGCGAAACATTGGATGAAGGAAGGATTTCGCCGAAACTGACGAAAAGAACTTGGTGTAGTCGAATTACCCGGAAGTACTGCTGAACCGAGTTGACTGTCCATACAAGAAGAAACAATACCAGAAGTGAACGAAGGGCTCGAGCTAGGCTTTTTGTTCGGGCGTGGTTTCTTCTTCTCAAGAGCCCGTTTTTCCGCTCGACGGAGCTTCTTGTCATCCTCGCTATCGCTGGCAAGTTCGTCTGATAAATACTCGTTCACTGTATCCCAACCAGCGGGTGACTTGTCGGCAATTTTTATGAGCTTGTTGCGCCGACTCAATTTTTTACGAATGTCACAGAGGCTGTCCAAAACAGACTGACGCCTTTCACCTTTCTTGAGCAAGTCTTACCTTAAATCTAAATATTGAATCAAATCAGAACTGAATATATGTTGACGCTGATTCCCTTTGTACTTAAACGTGTATGAACTGTAATCTCCTCGAAAACGTTTAAAAGTTTCGATTGAAGAAGTATGCACTTCGTCTCTTAAATCTCTCTTTAACGAATTAAATTGCTGGTCAAAGTAATTTCTCATCAAATCAAAAGACTGTGAAACAACATCGTCTCTAGAATTATCCGATTTATCTCTGTAAATATAACCACGTGGTCGCTCGTCTTGCAGTTCTTCGTTATCAGCCATTGAT